GCGGTGGCGGAGGCGGCGGCGGCGGCGGTGGCGGTGGTGGTGGTGGCCATTAGAGTTTCTTTCGTGTTGATATATATGTGAAAGGAATTAGGGGAGGCCGCTGCGCTGATTTTTTTTTTTTGAGAGGAGGAGGACCAAATTTATATTGGAAGAATTATGGAGGGTTGGTGAGGCGAAAAGCCCAAGGTGGGGGAGGAGGAAGCATCCTCACCCATCATCATCGATCATTGGAAAGCTTAAAAGTCTTCCGATATAAAGAAAAATAAATTCCACAACAGAGACCCAGAAACTATTGGATAGGCCGCTGCGCTGATTTTTTTTTTCAGAGAATTGAACCCAAACAATTAACGTGATTACGTTATAAACTTGAGGTTATGTTTGGATAGCTGTTTGGTTGGCTAAAAAAAACAAGGAAATCAAAGAAAATGAAACTTATTTCCTATAGTTTGGTTCTTTTATTGTGTTTGGTTCACCTCTTAAAAGTAAGAAAGTAGATGAGATGACATGAGATGAGTTGTCACAATAGTATTGGATGATGTGGGTGATTTTTTAAGAAACAAATTTCATGACTTGTTTTGAGGTTGTTTGGTTGGCTAAAAAAAATAAGGAGATCAATTATAAGAAATAAATTTTCTATAATAGGTTCTTTTTTTTTGTGTTTGGTTCATTCTTGAAACTAAGAAAAGGGATGAGATGAGATGAATTGTCATTATATTATTGTCATTATTTTTTTTTTTTTTTTGAGGAAATTGATGAAAATCAAATTTTAATGAGATGAGATGAGTTGTCACCGTACTATTGGATGATGTAACACATTTTTAAATAAACTCATTTTTAAAGAAATCTATTTTTTATAATAGTTTTTTTTCCTTGGGTTTGGTTCATTCTTAAAAATAAGAAAGGGGATGAGATAAAATGAGTTGTCACCATATTATTAGATGATACGGGTGACTTTTAAGAATAGAAACGGATAGAAATCAACTTTTAATGGTTTCCAATGTTCTATTTCCTTTTCTTTGAATTGATTAACCATATGGTTCCAACTATTAAGAAATACATAAAAATGATGCTGTACGGCATTATTGCGCTCACACAAAGCAACGGATATGGGGGTGGGTAAGCACAGCGGGAAGCGTGCGATGTCATTGGTCTTTCGTGGGTCCCACGGAGGGAGACCCCACCCACCTACCGCGAGCGGACAGCGCGTCGTGCTGACGAAGTCTGACCGAGCTCTGGTCACCGAACGCACTCACCAGCACTCTTCTCTTTTGGGGTGTTAGAATGCGATTCGTGTGATTGGGATTTTTAATTTGGTTGGCCTTTTTTTTTATTAGTCTCTTACATCTTTAATATTTGGAGTTGTCCCTCGAATCTTTGAAGTTTCTATTTGATACCCAGTTCATGTAAGTCGCCCCAAATAATTCATAAGATTTGAGGCCTAATGGCAATGCCGTCGGGCTTACTTTCAAAGTTTTATAGATCCAGGGGCTAAATATCAGAAAAGAAAAAAAAAACCTTTTAATTTTCTTATCTATATGCGAGGTGGGGACCCTCAGGGGTAGGTGAAACTGGCAGGCATCCGTTTCAATCACCACCAAATTGTTGTTGAGCAGCTTACTTGCTTTAAGTATAGGAGTAGTTAGGGGGGAAACGGGCAAAATAAGGGAGGATTATAGGGTACCAACTTTATGTACATGCATAATGTATGGGTATAACTAACATGCTTGATTTTCGTAATGTTAGTTTGAGTGTGGATCTAAACCTTGAAGCAGGCGAGCTCGAGGGGGAGACTTGCAGGCGAGTTTGGAGCAGATGTGAGCTGCAGGTGAGCTCGACGAGGTTAGGCGAGGTCGAGCAGGCGAGGAGCTCCAGCGAACGTAGGCGAGGCGACCCCCCTTTGTAGGCGAAATCGAGGATGCGGCGCAGGCGAGTTCGAGTTGGATTTGGCGAGCTCGAGCACGAGAGGATCTGTCAGGTGAACTCGTGCAGGCGATTCCAAGCAGGCGAGCTCGTGACAGGCGAGCTCGAGCGCTGCTGGCAAACTTCCCAGGCTGTCGACAGCCTGTCGACAGCTCAGCTAGGGTTTCCCTATAAAAGGGGAAACCCCAGGGCACGAGATGAGTGTCTTTTTCTCGCGATCTTTTGGCGACGCATCTCCTCTCTTCCAGAGCTAATTCTCTCCTCTGCTCTTTCTGTCTCTCTGTCTCTTTCTCCAGCTCTTAACTCTCAACAGTGATTTGAGGGGGATTTTAAGAGGAAATAAAAGAGAAAGAATATTGTGGGGGGAATATTCTCTATTTAAGAGAGAATTAAATAGGAGTATTTGAGAGAGAGAGATTAATACTGTAGCTACAGTATTAATTAGTATCTATTGAGAGATCTCAAGTTTGAGATCTGCTCTTGCTTTGTAATTTCTTGTTTGATTAAATAAGAAATTTACTGTGTGGCTCCCGAGGACGTAGGCAGATGCCGAACCTCGTTAAATCTTGGTGTATTTTCTCTATTCCGCGTTTCTGCTGTTTAGGGGTTTTGGCGTAAATTCCCAACAAGTGGTATCAGAGCATACAGAGACGTTCGTGATCTGGTTCTCAGTGAGGAGATCCGACGGAGAGAGTCGGGTGAAGCTACAACCTCTGCGGTATTACATACAGAGTCAAGAGGTAGAAATTCAACCAGAGGGAACGGACGAGGAAAATCAAACTACAGAGGTAGATCAAAGGACAGGAGGTCCAAGTCAAGGAATCCAAGCAACAGCTCGAAGGCTATCGAGTGTTGGAATTGTGGAAAGACCGGGCATTATAAGAATCAGTGCAAGAGTACACAGAAGGAGAAGGAAGCGAAAGCAGAGGTGAATGTCACTTCCACTTCAGGAGGAGACTACGCATTGATATGCTCTTTGGAGAGCAAGGAGGAATCTTGGGTGTTAGATTCAGGAGCGTCGTTCCATGCTACTTCTCAGAAAGAATTCTTCAAGAAGTATGTTTCCCAAAAATCTTGGATACGTATACCTTGGTGATGATCAACCATGTGCTATTGTGGGCAAAGGTGTGGTGAAAATTAAGTTGAACGGGTCAGTATGGACGCTGAAGGATGTCAGACATATTCCCGACCTGAGAAAGAACTTAATATCCGTAGGCCAGTTGGCTGGTGAAGGATACACTACGACCTTTCATGGAGATGATTGGAAGATCTCAAAGGGCGCAATGACGATTGCCCGAGGCAAGAAGACTGGTACCTTGTATATGACAACTGGTGCACGTTATTTGATCTCAGTTGCAGCAGGCAATGAGACTTCAAAGCTGTAGTACCAGAGACTCGGTCATATGAGTGAGAAGGGGATGAAGATCATGCACACAAAGGGAAAACTCCCAGGACTGCAGTCAGTGGAGATGGATATGTGTGAAGAATGCATACTTAGAAAGCAGAAGAGAGTTAGCTTTCAGACAAGTGCCAGAACCCCCAGGAAAGAGAAGCTAGAGCTCGTTCACTCAGATGTTTGGGGACCAACCACCACCGCATCCATTGGTGGGAAACACTACTTTGTGACTTTCATTGATGATCACTCTCGGAAAGTGTGGGTTTACTTTCTGAAGCATAAGTCAGAAGTGTTTGAAGCTTTCAAGAGATGGAAAGCTATGGTCGAGAATGAGACCGGTCTGAGAATAAAGAAGCTCAGAACCGACAATGGCGGTGAGTATGAAGACATCGGATTTAAGAAGTTCTGCTATGAGCACGGGATCAGAATGGAGAGCGTGCCTGACACGCCTCAGTAAAATGGTGTAGCTGAGCGGATGAACCGAACGTTGACAGAGAGAGCCAGAAGTATTTGGGTATAGTCAGACCTACCGAAGCAGTTCTAGACAGAAGCGGTCAACACAGCAACTTACTTGATCAACCGAGGTCCATCGGTTCCATTGGAGCACAGAATACCAGAGGAGGTATGGTACGGAAAGGAGGTAAAACTCTCACATCTTAAAGTTTTCGGTTGTGTAGCTTACGTGCATATTAGTGATCAAGGCAGGAACAAGCTTGATCCCAAGTCAAAGAAATGCACTTTCATCGACTATGGTGAAGATGAGTTCGACTACCGCATTTGGGACAATGAAAACAAGAAAGTGATCAGGAGCAGAGATGTGATATTCAATGAGAAGGTGATGTACAAGGACATGCACAAGACAGATGACTCAGAGAGCGAGTCAACATTTATAGATGCAGATGCTGTCCTAGGTAACCTCTCGAAAGAACCCAATGCAGAGGGTCCTCAGCCAGAAGAGCCTATTGGATAAGAAGGTGCGCAAAAGCCCGACGCACTATCTCCGATATTGAGAAGAACTTCTCGTCCTCCTGTACCCAACAGGAGATACATGAACTATCTGTTACTGATAGATGGTGGGGAGCCTGAAAGCTATGATGAAGCTTTGTCATGGTGAAGATGCGAGCAAGTGAGAGCTTTCCATGAAAGATGAGATGAAGTCTCTTATCTCAAACCAGACGTGGGAACTAGCTGAGTTGCCCACGGGTAAGAAGGCACTTCACAACAAATGGGTGTACCGGGTGAAAGAGGAGCAAGATGGTTCCAGAAGATATAAAGCCCGGCTAGTTGTCAAATGATTCCAGCAGAATGAAGGAATTGATTACACTGATATTTTCGCTCCTATGGTGAAGCTAAATACTATCAGGATAGTTATGAGTATTATAGCAATTGAAGATCTTCATCTCGAGCAGTTAGACGTGAAGACGGTGTTTCTTCATGGAGATCTAGAAGAGGAGATATACATGCACCAGCCAGAAGGTTTCTCAAAAAAAAAAGAAGAACCTATTGTGCAGACTCAAGAAGAGCTTGTATGGCCTGAAACAAGCCCCAAGACAGTGGTACAAGAAGTTTAACGGCTTCATGCACAAGGAAGGTTTCCAGAAGTGCAACGCCGACCACTGTTGCTACTTCAAAAGATATCAGTCCAGTTATATCATCCTACTGCTGTATGTTGATGATATGTTGGTTGCAGGAGCAGATATGGAAAATATCAAGAGTTTGAAGCAGCAGCTGTCAAAGGAGTTTGACATGAAGGACTTGGGTCCAGCGAAGAAGATCCTTGGAATGCAAATCACGAGAGACAAGAAGAAAGGGTTCTTGCAATTGTCTCAGACGGAGTACATCAACCGTGTTTTGCAGAGATTCAACATGGGCGACGCCAAGCCTGTGAGAACACCCTTGGCCAGCCATTTTTGCCTATCGAAGGATCAATCTCCTCAGTCAGAAGAAGAGAAAGAGAGTATGGCTCAGGTCCCTTATGTCTCAGCTATCGAAAGTTTGATGTACGCAATGGTCTGTACGAGACCAAACATTGGCCGTGCAGTGGGAGTGGTCAGCCGGTTTATGTCGAATCCAGGAAAAGCTCATTGGGAAGCAGTCAAGTGGATTCTGAGGTATCTACGAGGCACCACACAGAAGTGTTTGTACTTTGGTAAGGGAGAGGTAGAAGTGCAAGGGTACGTAGATGCAGACTTCGGTGGTGAAGTTGATCACCGAAGAAGCACCACCGGCTATGTATTCACTGTCGGAACTACAGCTGTTAGTTGGATGTCACAGATACAGAAGATTGTTACTCTGTCCACTACAAAAGCTGAGTATGTTGCAGTGACTGAAGCCAGTAAAGAGATGATATGGCTTCAGGGTTTGTTAACTGAGCTGGGATTCATACAAGAGCGGAATGTCTTGCACAGCGATAGTCAGAGTGCGATTCACTTGGCTAAGAATTCTGCATTTCATTCTAGAACGAAGCATATTGCGCTTTAGTACCACTTCATCAGATCCCTGTTGGAAGATGACGTGTTAAAACTGGAGAAGATTCCAGGAAGTAAGAATCCAGCAGATATGTTAACAAAGATGGTGACCGTTCAGAAACTGGAGTTGTGCGCAATTTCAGTTGGCCTTCATGCATAGATGATGAGGGCGGAGCCACACAAAACTGGAGTTGTGCGCAATTTCAGTTGGCCTTCATGCATAGATGATGAGGGCGGAGCCACACAGGAGATGGTGCTTGATGAGATAGCCTACTGATGTCGGTTTGGTCTCCAAGTGGGAGATTGTTAGTTTGAGTGTGGATCCAAACCTTGAAACAGGCGAGCTCGAGCGGGAGACTTGCAGGCGAGTTTGGAGCAGATGTGAGCTGCAGGCGAGCTCGACGAGGTTAGGCGAGGTCGAGTAGGCGAGGAGCTCCAGCGAACGTAGGCGAGGCGACCCCCTTTGTAGGCGAAATCGAGGATGCAGCGCAGGCGAGTTCGAGTTGGATTTGGCGAGCTCGAGCGCGAGAGGATCTGCCAGGTGAACTAGTGCAGGCGATTCCAAGCAGGCGAGCTCGTGACAGGCGAGCTCGAGCGCTGCTGGCAAACTTCCCAGGCTGTCGACAGCCTGTCGACAGCTCAGCTAGGGTTTCCCTATAAAAGGGGAAACCCCAGGGCACGAGATGAGTGTCTTTTTCTCGCGATCTTTTGGCGGCGCCTCTCCTCTCTTCCAGAGCCGATTCTCTCCTCTGCTCTCTCTGTCTCTTTCTCCAGCTCTTAACTCTCAACAGTGATTTGAGGAGGATTTTAAGAGGAAATAAAAGAGAAAGAATATTGTGGGGGGAATATTCTCTATTTAAGAGAGAATTAAATAGGGGTATTTGAGAGAGAGAGATTAATACTATAGCTACAGTATTAATTAGTATCTATTGAGAGATCTCAAGTTTGAGATCTGCTCTTGCTTTGTAATTTCTTGTTTGATTAAATAAGAAATTTACTGTGTGGCTCCCGAGGACGTAGGCAGTTGCCGAACCTCCGCGTTTCTGCTGTTTAGAGGTTTTGGCGTAAATTCCCAACACGTAAGATGAGCTTGTAACGCGTTGACCGTTGACCACGCAAAACCTCATAATAATATAATAAAACATGATTGATGGGGAAAAAAGAAGTAAAAAATAATAATAATCTTGCCCCCAGTATTATTGCTTCAACCACATATGCATGTCAAGCTCATAAATCATAAAACACCATTAAACCAACAATAATTCAGCTCCAAGGTTTTCAATCTATCCGCCAAGCTTCACTCTTCGTCTAGCTTTATAAGTTCGATATTTGATTTTCCATTCAATTTTCTCCTCATTGTGCTCCTCAGGTATTCTCCGTAGGCAATCTTTTTGTACTTGGGCTTATGCCGGTGGCGGCGATGGGCTCCGGCGTCCGGCGGCATGAGCTCCACATTATCCTGCGGACAGATGAACGAGGCTATTGAAATCCTCGGCGCGCTCTTGTTCGTCATTGCCCTGTGCTCGATGCTTTTGTACCTTCCGTTGCTGAACACCTGATCACCAAATATTAATTGATACGTTATAACTGATATTTATATATGTTGGTCTAGACCAAAATTAGGTTAGCTCAGGACATAAAATGTGTAAGGTTATGTGCTGAATATGGGCCTGCATTGCAAAGTAATATGAAATGCTAGTGAACTTGAATAGAGATGTAGGATCAAAATAATAGCTTATATTTTTTTCATAAACTTTTTTCTCGATATCTACATTTAAAGTTCATCCGATCCTCAATCTACGTGTGATTAGCGTAATTTTTTAAACGTGGGTTGTGTTGCTTGTGGAGCGTGGTTTACATGGAAAGTACATAACATTAGGATCCACAGAATTGAACCCCTACAGAATTGCATCACCTCCGCTGCTACAGGGAAACAATCAGGTTTTGCATCGTGTTGCCAACATGCTGCTTTGATATCATCTTGAAGTGCTTTCCACTACCTCATAACTCGTAGATTTTGATGGATATTGATGGTCATAATTTTAAATTCTAACAGAAATCAAGCCATCTTAATTACCTCAAGAGCATCGCCAACATTCAGCACAAGTGCATTTGGTATTGGCTTCACAGGGACCCACCCACCATGATGCCTAACTTGGAGGCCAGTAACCTCATCATCTTGCAGCAATACAGTTAAGGTGCTGGAATCAGAGTGTGGGCTCACTCCTACAACTTTATCAGGGTTGCAACACGTAGGGTAATAATTCACACGCATGGCTTGCATCACTTCATTGTGAATCCTCCATAGCTCATCTTTCTCCATTCCCATTAGCTTAGATATAGCTGAGATGAGCTCTTTTGATACCCTGTTAGCTTCCATCGAGTACACTTCAACGGCTTCTCTGCTTATTTGAATGCCAATTGTGAAAGGCGCAAGCAATGAAGTATTAACTTTTGAAGAAATAGCAAGGCTAGATTCTAACACGATGCTGAATTTTGATATCAGTGGCACAAATTATGATGAGTATCAATACGCTGTGGAGAAGAACAAAACAGATGTTTGCAACCGATCATTGTTCGACAAGTTCTACAAGAATCTACAGCATGTAAGTTCAAGCAAACGGATAACGGTTAATCGCACAAAAAGTTTTGGATAGATTATAAAAATAAAATAAAATCGATCCTACAATTTTGACGAATGACAGAAAATACTTTTAAGTTGAAAAAAATGATGCTTATCTACCATATTGTAAAATTAATGATTGTCGTATGATATAGTCCAACAATCGCTTTTGAAACCTTAAGGAGACGTGGTCGAGTCATGCATATTCTAGGCGAATCTTGTGCAAGTTACGCTAAAAAAGATCATGGATCACTTGTGGATACCTTGTAGTATCGCCGAACTGATCGAACTTGCTATCACTGTAGTTCAATGGTTCCAGAGAGACCACCTAAGTGGAAATTTTGACCTTTCCAAGGGTTCTATCTGCAACAATAGAACCTAAAATTTTATCTTGACTAAGAGAGAAAAGGACTTACGCAAATGAAGTCAGTTCCGAGGGCCAGTAACTCATATTTCTGAGCTTCATAGGATATATTAGCAGAGCAAATACATCTGCCCAATCTAGCTTTTGCTGTTCAGAAACTACATAGAGTTGCCCGTACCCTTGAATGTCATCGGTTGCCATCGAATATTTCTTCTTCTGCTCAAATGGAAGCTCAAAAAATTTGGATACAACACTCTTCAGATTTTGAAGCACCTCAGGTGATATTCCGTGATTGATTACCTACAATGTTGAAATTGACATGATCAAGACTTACTGATAGCTTCTAGTAATGGGTTTTGTCTTGTGTAGATCTTCATGTTGTCAGCGTACCATTTGATTTATGGAAGAGCAAGGTGCGAACTTAGAAGCATAAACGCTAGGACTAATCGCATATCCGTCCCCTGTACTATAGGACACATATTACCTCCTTTATATTATCACTTTCGAAAACATAGTTATCTTTCTGTTATCTGTATCCGTCATTTGGATGTCATGCAAGTTTCAGAAAGATCATTTGAAATTTGAGGTGTTACCGAGATATCCCCTATTCTCTTATAGTTACATGTGTTGAACGTACACTTGTATAATACAGATACATATATGTTGGGCGCAGAGTCACGCCCACCGCCGCGGAAGCGATATGTCCTGAGAGAGAGCCCTGGCTTTTGTTGTCACAAAAGCACAAGTCAACCTCGATATCTGTGTTTCGCGAAGGAAACCCAGACTCAGTAGCGAAATATCTCAGCGAAGTGAGATATCCACTCTTCCTCTCATCAGCGCAAGACCGAATTTTGAGGGATCCTACAAGCAATAGCCAACAACCCAGAAAAACAATAAATACCCGAGATTTATGTGGTTCGGCAAACTTGCCTACGTCCACGGGAGGGGATGAGGGGAGATTCCACTATGAGAAGAACACCGACGACTTGTACAATCCACAAGCTCGTCTCAAAGAAAAAGATCTAATTTTTACCCAAAAGAAATTGACCTCTCTTTTATAAATCCCTCTTTTTCTCTCCTCAAGATCTCTCTTTTAGATCTGAAAAACTCTCTTTTTTCTCTTCTAAAAAACCCTCCTAAAACAGCCGCAGGAACTCTGCGTTTCTTTTCTTTTTCTTTGCCCCGCTGCTTTTCCCCGTGTCGCTGCAGCCGAGAAAAAACTTCCCCACGCTGCTATTCCCACAAACGAAAACCCTAGCAGCTAGTTGGTATTTATAGGAATCACTGCTCATCAATTTTTGTTCAGGACAAGAAACCCGAACAGGCCCAAATACCCAAACAGGCTAATTGATAATCACGTGGGCGTGTGGCTCACGTGAACCTGTCGTTCACAATTCTCCACCTCGTACATCATTTGATAAACCTCAAATTATGGACGAACATCAGAAGAACTCCGCGAACTTCACCAGAGAAATCACCATCGGCCAAACCAGGCCAAACCAGCTGCGTCACTTTACCGCGACTGCCTACGTACCCTCCACCGGGATCAAGCTAACTGTAGTTCTGTAATTATTCTCCAACATAGTCTCCACCTTACCCCATCACCGCCACGAAGGAACATGCCCTCTTGAACAGATTAACATGGGCTGATATGAAGCATGTCAAAGCAGTGTTGGAACTTGCTACCTATCACCACCTTGGTCCACATGTCTGTGGGATTCTCATTCGTGTACACCTTCATGAGAGAACTATCACCTTCCTCTATAACATCCTATACAAAATGATACCTGACGTCGATATATTTTGTACGAGCATGGTGAACTTAATTCTTAGCCAAATGAATCGCACTCTAACGATCGCACCACAAGTGCACAGTATGATACTCAATCCCCAAATCATCTAGAAGACCCCACAACCACAATGCTTCCTTCACTCCCTCCGCCATGGCCATATACTCGGCCTCTGTAGTAGAAAGTGCCACTGTAGCCTGCAACATCGATCGCCAACTAACTGGAGCTCCATGTATTCTGAATACATAACCAGTAGTAGATCGCCGTCTATCTAGATCTCACCGCTTCCCAGTGCGCCTTTCCCGGATTCGCCATGAACCTGCTGACCACACTAACCGCTTGTGAAATATCTGGGCGTGTACACACCATGGCGTACATCAAACTGCCAACTGCACTAGCATAAGGAACACGCTCCATGTGTGCCTTATCTTCCGCTGTAGTGGGAGATTGTTTACCTGAAAGCCTGAAGTGTGGAGCCAATGGGGTCGCCACCGACTTAGCACTTTGCATCCCGAACCTCGCGATCACCCGCTCTATATAGCCCTTCTGACTCAAGAACAATCACCGATTCACCCGCTCTCTTCTAATCTCCATACCCAGTATTTTCCTAGCAGCGCCCATGTCCTTCATCTCGAACTCTTTACCAAGTTGAGATTTCAGCCTATCTATCTCCACCCCGCTCTTAGAAGCAATAAGCATGTCATCCACATACAAAAGGAGATAAATATAATCACCTCCACGAAGCTTCCGAATGTAAACACAGCAATCGTAATCACTTCGGGAAAATCCATGCTTCAGCATGAAGGAGTCAAATCGCTTGTACCACTGCCGAGGAGATTGCTTTAGTCCATAGAGTGACTTCCTCAAGCGACATACATGATGCTCCTTATCCTCAACCTTGTAGCCCTCAGGTTGATGCATGTAGATCTCTTCATCCAAGTCTCCGTGCAAGAAGGCCGTTTTAACATCGAGTTGTTCCAGCTCAAGATCACCATGAGCAACAATACTCAATAGCACCCGAATAGAAGTGTGTTTCACCACCGGAGAAAATATCTCATTGTAATCCACACCCTCTCTTTGTGCAAACCCTTTAGCCACTAGCCTCGCCTTGTACCTTGTACCACCGAGCTCTGAAGGATCTTCCTTTCTCTTATACACCCACTTACAACCAATAGCTTTTCTTTCTACGGGCAATGGGACCACTTCCCATGTTTGGTTTTTCCGAAGAGATTCCATCTCCTCCTCCATCGCAGCCAACCAACTCTCGCTATCTTTATCTCGAATAGCTTCCTTGAAGGAGACCGGCTCATCTTCCTCCACCGAGAGTGCGTATTCAACCAAATTAACATGCCCATAGTGCTTCAGAGGTTGATCAACCCTTAGCTTCTGTACCTGCTTGTATGCTCGTCTTGGCACCTCCTCCTGCTCAAGCTCATCATCTACCTGATTTCCCACTTGAACATGACTAGAACCTGGTTGGTCTTTAGGTTCTATCTCAATAACCTGGGACTTTGAAGTCCCAACAGTCCCAACACCATCATCCTTGGGCGCCTTAGCAATCATGGATTTTTCATCAAAGGTAACGTCCCTGCTTATCACGAACTTCGAATCTTCTGTACACCAAAGGCGGTAGCCTTTTACGCCCTTCGCATACCCTAAGAATATCGCCTTCTTATATAGGGTGTATCACCATCTAGTGTCGAATGTGGAGAACGGTTCACAATGTAACATGCTGTAGCCACCGCTTCTGCCCACCATTCGTTGCCCAATCCAGCATAAGATCGCATACTCATTGCCTTCTCCCGCAATGTTCGGTTCAGTCTCTCCGCGACCCCGTTCTGCTGTGGTGTTGACCTGACTGTCCAGTGTCGAACAATGCCCTCCTGATCACAGAACTTCTTGAAAGCACCATCTGTATACTCTGTACCGTTATCAGATCTCAGTGTCTTCAATTTCTTGCCCGTCCTGTTCTCAACCATTGCTTTCCACTTCTTGAATGTCTCGAATACCTCATTCTTATGCTTAAGAAAATAAATCCAAGCATACCTAGAGTAATCATCTATGAACGAGACAAAATACCTGGAACCACCCTTAGAAGTTGTCTGAGCCGGACCCCAAACATCCGTGTGCACATAATCTAGTATACCTCTGCTCTTGTGATTGCTTTTCAAGAATTGGACCCTGTGCGCCTTTCCGTACACACAATCCTCACAAAAATCCATGCAAGGTTTCTTCAGATTCTTCAGCAAACCCTCCTTACCAAGCAGAACCAGACCCTTCTCTGACATGTGCCCAAGCCGCCTATGCCATAACCGTGTGTGCTCACATGGGTCTCCACCACTTCCTTCAGTTCCAACCGCTGCATCTCCTGTCACCGTCGTACCCGAGAGAGTATATAGATTACCGTGACGAACACCCTTCATCACTGTTAGGGAACCTCGAACAACCTTCTTTACTCCGTTCTCTGTAACAATCTTGCAGCCACAGGAGTCCAAAGCACCAACTGAGATAAGGTGACGAACACCCTTCATCACTGTTAGGGAACCTCGAACAACCTTCTTTACTCCGTTCTCTGTAACAATCTTGCAGCCACCGGAGTCTAATGCACCCACTGAGATAAGATTCTTCCGCAAGTCGGGAACGTGCCGCACGTCCGTTAGGGTTCTGACCACTCCATCATGCATCTTGATTTTTATATCACCGAGCCCCACCGTTTTACAAGCATGGTTATTCCCCAGTAATACAGTTCCACCATCAATGCTCCTATAGGTAGTAAACCACTTCTTATTTGGGCACATGTGGTAAGAGCAACCCGAATCAAGTATCCACTTACCGGAGGTATCTTCGCCACCCGTAACAACATAGCATTCTTTATCGCTCCCTTCCTCCGATGCGTAACTCGCCTCTTCCTTGCCTTCTCTTCTCTCGGTCTTGTTGTTGTTCTTTTTCCCACCTACTCTCTTGTTAGGACAGTCAACCTTGAAATGCCCAACTTCACGCAAGAGGTCTCGATTTAGATCTAGACTTTCCTCCCTTGCCTTTTCCTCGCTCATTGCTCCTTCCTCTAGCAAACAATCCCTGCGCTTGTTCTTTGTTACCACCAGTAGTCATGTCACCGGTTGCAATCTTTCGAAGGTCATCCCCTAGAAGCGCCGTTCTAGTCTCATCCATCGTCAAATTGTCTCCCACAAGCATCAATGTTTGCACCAGGTTCTCATAAGACTTCGGCAGAGATAGAAGTAATAGAAGAGCCTGATCCTCATCTTCTACAGTCACATCGATGTCCTTCAGATCCGATATAATCCTATCGAACTTGTTGATATATTCCCGGATTGATGAGCCCTCCTCCATCTTGCAAGTATACAATTTGGATTTCAAATAGATCCGGTTTGTTAGACTATTCGTCATGAAGGTGCTTTCTAACTTCAACCACACGCCCGCAGCCGTTTCCTCTCCATCTACCAAGAAAGCTACATCCCTTTCAAGGCAAAGGATAATCGACGCCCGTGCTTCCAGATCCAGCTCCTCCCAATCCTCATCAGACATATCCTTGTGCTTCTTCTCTTTTCCTGCCAAAGCTTTGTGCAATTTCTGCGAAATCAACGTGTTCTTCATCTGCATCCTCCAATAGGAAAAATCATTCTTCCCATTGAATTTTTCAATCTCGTATTTTCCAACTTTAACCGTTTTACTTGTTGACGCCATTCTCTGCTTGTCTCAGGAAATTACCGAGCACCACCTCAAATCAGAAGCTACACCACTCCCAATCTGAATAACAGCTCTGATACCAATATAGCGAGGAGATAACTTCATTTAGGATCAGAGAGTTTAGAAGTAACAAGTGGTCAATATAACAAAGCCCCGCATGTACTGAAGACTATACCACGCGTACCTGAAAGAATCCCCATTCTCTACAAGCAATATCGAGCCTGCTGAGCTCGCCTTCATCAGCTTCAGAAAGCAATGACAGATCAATTACAGGTATTTCCAAAGAAAGATGAGGCACCACAGAACCCTGCATTTCTCTTAAATATATCTCTGGGATGTTTTCAGGGTCTTTCCTCACAATCTCTTGAACGCTATCTACTGGAATCGATTTCCCAAATTTAATTTCTTCTCCTGCTATTATTGTGCTCACATTTTCAGCTTCAATGCCCATCTTTTTTCTTTCCTTCCTTTTTATTTTTTTCCCCCCTGAAATAAAGTTTAAGTCAACTCTCTTACAAAGCTAGCACACAATGGGGTGATTATATTTAGATCCAGACATTGGAATTAGCACTAACTAAGAATCTATTAACCGGCATGGAGAAGATTCTTATGCTATTGAGGCTAGAACTTTTTGAATGGAAGCATATGGAATTTTGAGGGAGACATCCTCTAAATTTTATGGAAGGTCCCTTGATGCTTTAGTTTGTTCTTGTCATTTGACACTTACCAGCAAATGCTACGGTTGCTTTCACAGAAAAAGCTCCAACATACTAACATTGTAAATCGAGACCTTCTGGATAGGCTTGACCTTGGCTACAAAGTGTTCTATGCCAGTGTAACTACAAAGAGACCCTAGTTGTAAGCCAACAAGATGAAGCTTGAAGTTTGTAGATTCATGAACCTGTTCAGGATCCGTAACAACGCGGAAGTAAGAAATCTCGGAATCCACCATGAGACGCTCTTTGAATCTACAAAGAACAATATTCGGATCCACGAAGAGACAACCTCGAATCTATGAAGCAATATAAAAAAGAATTTTATTGAAGAAAAGTTATCTAACAGAGTTAGGGTTACATGTCTCTTCTTAAATAAAAATAAAATAAAATAAAAATTAACTCCTAATAAGACTAAAATTACAAAGAAATAGAAAGTATCAAATCCTACCTTAAAAAAGACTCCTTATAATAGAGAAGACAAATTAGTCCAACATGAATCAGTATTAAATTTGTTTCCTAATCGAAATAAACTTTAATTTTATTATTAAAAATATGCTAAATTCGGACTATTTTTGGTTTTTTCCAAAACTAGTGACACTGATGTGATTTCATAAATCTGTCAATCTGGATGACTTGGTTTTGTTGAGATAGAAGATTTTCATATATCTTATATCAGAACCTACCTTTTGGATTAGGAGTTATGGTTTTCTTCTTCTTTTTTTACTTTTTCTTTTTGTGATCATGTAAACAATTCATCAGCATCCGCATTTAACTCGTCAATGTCCCACTTGTCCATGAATTTGCTCGTTATGCGTCATACATCAATCTAGGATCGTTGAGACTATATGCTATAAAATTTAGAAAAATTGTATTGTTTTGATACCCTTAAACCCAACAAAGTTTATCTGTTAATTTAAAATCATTTGTTAGATTTGAGGAAGAATTGGAGCTTTTATGAGATATAAATTGCATTGCAAACATGTGATCGTTACGCTTCAACCAGGATACTTTATTCCACCTCTTATAGAGAATGACTTAAACAGAGAAATACTTAATTAACACAGTGATACATCGATACAAAATTCTACCCCATTCGCACACAACGAAACCATAGATAGTCAAATGAAATCCAATCCGCAAAATAATTTGATCAATGGACAACATCGTTACGGTGAAGATCATAATCCCAACAGGCATTGTGGGGGAGGTCAAAGCATCTCTACCGTAAAATCGATTTTTGACAGGATGAAAAATGAGCTAAAAGGTTTTCTTTTTCTTCTTTACCTCGCCATCAAAACCTTTGTACAGTATAATATGCATCTACATAGCCAAAAGATTTTGGAAACCCCCATTTGTGCACATGGATACTTTGATGTGGTCATGCACAGACTCGAGATGTACACATTGGGAATTCAGATATGGGCTCAAATGTCTGTTCTGTTTCTTGAATGCTGAACATGGCCAGCGCACGAAATTGGCATGAAGACACTCTTCATTCACAGATTCTTTAAGAACGTATGCTATTGCATGTAAAACCTCCTTTGGCTTCTTAATTAGTTGCAATCTACAAAATATAATTACAAAAGAAAATATGTTTGAAATATGCATTAATTCCTCCTGGCCTGCAACATATCAAATTTTAGACCCTCGCATTCCGCTAGCAATATTGGTAATTATACTCACTATCAGGCTATATCTTGCCCGGCAATCAGAACACATTATGTACTTGGAAATTGAGCATTTGAACTGAGAAGCACAACATATCCTTGATATATGAGGCATCAATAAGACCTACAGAAGGAAATTAAATTTTCTTTACCAAAGAAGCATCTTAACTACTTAGTACCAATAATGTACTTTATAGAATCGGTAGAAAATTTTTTTGCAGGATATTAAATGAAATAAAGTTAATAGAGGTATTGTCGACCAATATTTTTGAATTCCGCCAATGCTGAGGTATGCTCGAGCCCTTCAGGTGACAAGACCTGTAGTTTTACAAATTGGGCACAAGTTCTTGTGCGTTAGCCACTGTTTAATGCAAGCAGTGTGGAAATCATGTCCACAGTCCAGCACGCCGAGGTCTTCTCCTACCGTATATTCCTCCTGCAATTATTTTACAGAAGATAGAAAAATGTATTAGTGGATAGTAACAGTCAAAAAATTATTTTTATCATACAACAATTAAATGTTTCAGACTGATCTTAAATTTCAGACTATAAATACACATAACGGGATGCAATAATATAGAACAATAAACAATAAACTACATTTGCTTCAGAAAAACTGGCCGTGAGTTCAACAATTTGATGGATGCAATACAAACAGTGTACTTCTATTTTCGTTATATTGATTTTTCCTGTTTTAACTTCTATGCAAATTTAAATTTTAACACGTACTGGATGCAAATTAACAATTTTTGTAATGTGAGGGGAGCAAATGGAAATCAGCTGCTCACTGTTTAGTATTTGAAAGGCTTAGTAAGAGACATGAAAGATACGCATATCAGTCAGCCTAAGTTAACAAAATTCCACTAGATAGCGCTGCTGATCTTTTGGGGGTAAACAACTCATAAGTGATGTATATGGATGAATGACGAACGTAACACATGAATTTTGAACAAGAAATTTGGATCCTCTGGCCATCAACAATCATCATATATAATAAATAAATAAACCAACAGATAAAAAAGATGGGGAAGAGAGGGAAGCAACAGAAGGCTCATAGTAGAGATTTTACCTGACAGATACAGCATGGTTCAGTTTCAACTGTTGCCCCCACTCCAATGACGAAATGTTTCCTCTGCTTCAGGCACTTCATAATTGTTTCCTCACCCAATCCAGTGCTAACATTTCCTATCCTCTCTTCCAACGCCAATAATTCCTACAATCCATGAAATATTTGAGTTCAATAACCTAAAATCAGAAGGCAACAATAACTGAATGTTTGCCAAGACTTCACCTCATAAGACATATTATCCACATCAAGCCTCATGTCTCTGTGCCGATCATGCAGGTCTGCCACCCCATGAAATACAGGATGGTCAAGCATAAAAACATCCTGTATAGTTACAACCAGAGGATGTCAAATTGTCCTGAATATGTTATACAGAGCTCAGAAATTAAAAAAACAAAGCTAACGGGCCCAAATTGGAGATAATCAGCACCAGTCCCATTCAAAAAGACTTTGACGGAGGTGGTTGCAATATATGAAACTCCTGACAAACGACAAGAAACAAAACAAAACCAAAAGAACAGTGAACAGAATCAAGAAGGCAACAAAGAGCAAACTTCTGGTTTTGATTTATTGCATGAACAGCTATGTTCAGGACTGGCCACTAAACAAATTGGACCTAAATGGCCATATATATATATTCAACAGGACCTGACAGAGGAGGTTGCAATATATGAAACTCCCAAACAGATACACGATACATTAACAAAACATAGTAATTAGTAGGAGAAAAAACCCCTAGTTAAATGCACGACAGGAACAAAGAGCAAATTTCTGGCTTTGCTTTAATTGCACACAGAGACACTTCAAAAGCCACTAACTGAACTAAATGTATATCCTAATCATAGAGACTTGACGGAGGTGGCTGCAAATTTTAGTACATGAAAGTCCAGAACAGATTAGTGATATGAAACAAGAAATAATGAACAGAAGGCAAGTTAAAACACAATTAGAACAAAGAAAGAACTTCCAGTTTTGCTTTAATTGCATGACCGGCAATTTCACAGGCCACTAAAGACCACACATCTTCAATGTTAAAAATCTCAAGACCAGAATAGAATCTTATTAACATTCAATTGCACCTGATGCCACCTAGTAAGTAATAGAGAAGAAAGGAAAAAAGGCTCAGCCCATAAGCCCGCATAAGCATTCTTGCTAAAGTTGTAAATTCTTCTTGTGTTGTTGCTTGACTAATGGAAGAGAAGCTACAAGGGTGGCAACTTTCACCTGACCCACCAATTTAATCTGAACCACCACGAAACTCGTAGACTTAGCGGGTGTATATCAGAAAAGGGTCTATTTGATATGACCCATTTACAAAGTAGTTTATAGTTTCCACTTGCAATTATTAGTTTTTAAGCTCAAAACTACGGAAACTGCCAATTCTCACATATTTAAACACTAAAAACCTACTTTAATCTTAAGTTCCCCTTCTTCCTTCCTTCCCTCACTACCTGATTTTGGCCAACCAAATCCATACCATCCTCCAATAATGGAGGGATGCACTCTTCAGGGCTAGCATTAAGCTCCACCAACTGAAGAGATCCTGAATTGTTAGATTATATCATGATCCAGTAATAGAATTTTGCACAAAGGTTAACATTTAGAAACGACAAATGAGGTAAGATAATTACCCCTCATTCTGTGGATTTGTGCTAATTCTTTGGCAGCTCATTTTTTTCACTGACTTGGATCAAGGATGAATTTGATATTGAACATTTGAACTATGGTTCACAGGCTTGATATCATATCTTCTTTATTGAAGGTGACTTAAGCTTAAATTGGAAACTCCGTTATTGATACAGGAGATCTACACAACCGAAACGACATCAGCGGACGACGACTAGACATCTCAACTCGAGTCGAGTCGACAGTCGAGACGATTAAACAGATGGACGAGACAAGACGAGACTCAAACCAGCCTAGACGAACAGACGACTCGAGGCGACGAGTCGAGATGACGAATCGAGTCAAAGCGACCCAGCCGAGACCCCAATCGACAGGACGAGACCCAGTTGACACGAAGGGCGATGTTAGTCGACACATGCCAGTCGACACGAAGGGCAGTACTACTCGACATACTTAGTCGACTCATGTCCAGTCGACACGAAAGGCGGTACTACTCGGCACGCCTCGTGTCTACTCGGCAAACAGAATAGGAAATGAGTTTTGCTTTGGTTATTTCCTTTTAGGATTAGAGTTTCTTTTTGATTAGGGTTAGGATAGGGTTAGTTGGCTATAAATATTAGTTCCTTTTGTAAATCTATTATTAACTTTTTAATTATTCAATTAAGAGAATTTTTCTCCTTGTTTTCGTTCTCAAACTTGAGAAACTTGGAGCTTGTGGATTCAAGCTCGTGAAATACCTACTATTGTCAGGACTCGTCGGCATTAGAATGATATCCGATCGGCCTCTCTGTTTCTACGTCTGTGTCAAGTGGTATCAAAGCTTCGGCTTCAACATCCTCGACAATGGCAGGTGACGGCGAGGAGCTTTCTCTACAGGATCTTTCCGCGATGATGGATTCTATGGATGGAAGATTTGACACGTTAGAGGCGTCTCTTTAGAACCTTCAACAAGTCATTGAAGGACTTACCCTTCACCTCAACAATGAGAATAATTTCGCCGACGGTCTTCACCTAACTGGATCCAGAGTTAGACTACCCCGACATCCACCCCCGTACAATCCTCAAACCCTTCCAGTTTATCCCCCTCCAAATCAACCACGTCCAAACCAACCACATCCATATCAACCCCCTCCATACCAACCTCCTCCATATCAACCCCTTCTACATCATAGACGACATCCCAACCAACCCCTCCCATGATGAATCCAGTGACGAAAGAGCGGACTATGGTGCCTAATTTGAGGGACCATGGTACGACAACGTCTCGAATGAAGAAGGAGGACGATCTTATGGTAGAGGTCGGGCAGAGGCTTCAACCCTCGTTGTAACTATCACCGACAGGGCGGACATCACCACGATCAAGAGTACCGGATGAAGGTAGAGCTCCCTTCCTTTGGAGGAAATCTGAACATAAAGGCTTTTCTGGATTTGCTCTACGAAGTGGAGAAGTTTTTTGAGATGGCTAATATTCCCGAAGCAAACCAAGTAAAGTTTGTGGCATATCGTCTCAAAGGAGGAGCCGCGGCCTGGTGGGATAAGACAAAACACTAGGCGGCGATAAAACAAGCAACCAGCTCGGGTTTGACGACGCATGAAGTAATTACTACAAGCTAGGTTCCTACCATCCGACTATCAACAACTTCTCTACAACCAGTTCGAGCAATGCCGTCAAGGACTCAGATCAGTAAGCACCAATACCGAAGAGTTCTTCTGTCTTACTTCTCGTTGTGATTTGTCTATGAGCAAGGAGCAACTCGCGACAAAATATATCGAATGTTTGAAGTACTCTATGGACGAAGCCCATAACATGGCTCTCAAGGCGAAAAGATTGGCCTCCAAGACACCACCTTTCAGGCGAACCGATCAAGGAAGTTCGGCCGAGAAGACAAGAGGTGAGTAGACAGGGCCAAAAACGGCTGATCAGTCTAATCCTTCACAATCAGACGAGCGGTCGACAAATCAACCACCGCCCCAGATAACTCAATCAAATCAATATGCCAAGCCGACTGTAGGGAAGTGTTTCCGATGTCTCCAACCAGGACATAAGTCCAACGAGTGCCCGCAGCGGCAGAAGGTCAATATAGCGGATTATAAAGAGGCAGAAGACGGACACAGAGCATCTGACGAAGAGTATGAGGAATAGGTTGCCGAGATTAAGGGCGATAACGTGTCGTGTGTTGTTCAACGACTCCAGTGCGCCCAGAAGACTCCAGATTCTTCACAACCATATCAAATCTTCTTTTCTAGGTGTTCAGTTAATAACAAGGTGTGCACCATCATCGTTGATAATGAAAACTGTGAGAATATAGTGTCAAAGGTCTTGGTGGATCACTTGAAATTGCCAACCGAGATCAAGCATGTGTCTTATACCATCGAATGGATCAAGAAGGGTCCCTCCGTGAAGGTGACCGAAGTATGTCGCGTGCCACTATCACTAGACAAGATTTATAACGATTATGTTGCTTGTGATGTTGTGGATATGGACGCGTGCCATGTATTGTTGGGACGGCCGTGGCAGTATGATGTTGACGCCAAGCATGGCGGCAAGAAGAACGAATACTCTTTCGTGTGTATGAATAAAAAGATCATCATACCACCTATTCCACCCTCTCCAAAGAGCCCCAAAGGTTAAAATTCCAAACATACTTCTCTTTACAACAAGGGAGAGTTTTCTGGCCAAGTCAAAAGAGTTGAAGCAGAGGTTTGCCTTAGTGGTGAATGAGTAAGTGAAGACACTCATTGAGATCCCAGAGAAGATGAAGTCGTTGCTTAAGGAATTTGAATTTTGTTCCTGAAGAGCTACCAGAGGGACTCCCTCCCATGAGTGATATACAGCACCACATCGATTTTATTCCAGGTTCGGTACTTCCTAATCTCCCTCACTATCGCATGAACCTGCAGGAAAAAAAGATCCTATAGGATACCATTGAGGACCTCATTAAGAAGGGTCACGTTCGAGAGAGTATGAATCCATGCGCAGTTCCAGCACTGTTGACACCAAAGGATGAAAGTTGGCGGATATGTGTGGATAGTAGGGCCATTAACAAAATCATAATTCGCTACAGGTTTTAAATTCCTCGGTTAGATGACATGCTAGACCAGTTGGGAAGTGCGAGCATCTTTTCAAAGATCTACTTGTAGAGTGGGTATCATCAGATCCGAATCAGGCCAGGCGATGAGTGAAAGACTGCTTTCAAAAGCAGTAAGGGCCTCTGAGAATGGTTAGTGATGCCTTTTGGGTTATCGAACGCTCCAAACACCTTTATACGTTTGATGAACCAAATTCTGAAGCCTTTCTTGGGAAGATTTGTAGTCGTCTACTTTGATGACGTTCCCATCTATAGCCGAGATGAACATGAACATATGTTGCATCTCCGAGAGGTCTTCCAAGCAAGATTATCGATAGCGGATAGCGTCGCATAGCGATGAGGCATCGCTAAGGCTATTTCGGGCTATTGCGGCAAAATAACGATAAAAACGCAAAGTTAAATAACGGTCTAATTTAGATATGTATAAATACTAAAAAAAATTAAAGAAAAATCTAAGAAATCTAAAAGATGTATAAATACTAAAAAAAATTAAAGAAAAATCTAAGAAATCTAAAAGTACATATTGGATGATTTAAAAAGATCCTAAACATAGAAAAATCTAAGAAATCTAAAAGTACATATTGGATGATTTAAAAAGATCCTAAACATGAAATAGACATATACCATCACGTAATACTGAAGATGACTGAAGAAGTCAAAAAGTCATCTTCGAGAAGAAAAGCTTAGCGGTGACAGGACTGCCCTAAGAGGAGGTTATGGTGAAGGAGGTGAGAGGAAGTATCAAGGTAGGTGTCAGAGGCTATGAGAAGTGACGGGAGTATGCTGAAAATCACAGGAGACGGTGGAATGTAATGGTCAAGGGTTAAGTTTAATTTTCAAAAAAATAAGCCTCAAGCCGCTTTTAAATAGCAGTCAAAAAGCAAATTTCGTATACAATCGCTCACTATTCACCGTTATGATACACTATTGATCGTTTTTGCGAACATACATATTCCGCAATATGTCACCGCTATTGCGCGATAGCGTAGCGGGCGATAGCATCGCGGGAAGGGACCGCTAACGCTATTAGCGTCGCTATTACGGGGCTATTTACCGTTATTTATAACAGTGCTTCCAAGTGTTAAAGGAGAATGAACTTTACATCAACCTTAAGAAGTGCATGTTCTTGACGACTCAACTTGTGTTCTTGGGATTCGTGGTGAGCTCACAGGGAATCCAAGTCGACGAAGATAAAGTCAAGGCAATCAAGGATTGGCCGACTCCAGAAAGTGCTACTGAAGTAAGAAGCTTTCATGGATTAGCATCTTTTTATCGACGTTTCATTCGCAATTTCAATTCTATAGTTGCTCCCATGACGGATTGCTTGAAGAAGGGTGTTTTCGAGTGGACCGATGAAGCATTATATAGCTTTTGTTCTTATCAAGGAGAAGATTACTACTGCACCTATATTGGCGTTTCCAGATTTTAACAAGCTCTTTGTGCTTAAGTGTGACGCGTGTGGTGTAGGTATTAGAGCAGTCCTCTCTCAAGAGAAACGCCCCATTGCTTTCTTGAGCGAGAATTGGAGTACTTATGAGCAGGAAGTTCGGCAGAAGTGGAGTACTTATGAGCAGGAATTATATGTTGTTTATCGCTCTTTGAAGACTTGGGAAAGTTACCTCATTGCTAACGACTTCGTGATTTACCCCGATCATTAGTCTCTTCAGCACGTCAAGAATCAAAAGCATATCAACAAAATGCATAGCCGTTGGGCTTTGTATTTTGAGCAGTTTAATTTTACTTTGCGACATAAATCAGCAGTCGACAATAAGGTACTCGATACTTTGAGTCGGCGGGTATCCTTGTTGAGCGTATTGCGAAGTGAAGTTGTTGCTTTTGACTGTTTAAAAGAGCTTTATGTTGATGATGAAGACTTTCAGGAGATTTGGGCAAAGTGTTCGACAAGACAAACAGGAGACTTCGTTATCATGGACGGCTTTCTGTTTAAAGGAAATCGGCTTTGTATTCTCAGGACGTCATTGAGAAAAAAGATAGTTTGAGATTTACATGGTAGTGGGCTTGGTGGACACATTGAGCGAGACAAGATTATTTTGAGTCTTGAGGAGAGATACTATTGGTCGAGTTTGAGGAAGGATGTGGCGATACTTGTGAGGAGTTGTCAAGTGTGCCAAGTTGCAAAGGGACAAGTGCAGAATACTGGTTTGTATACTCCTCTACTTGTGCTCAAGGATATCTAGGAAGATTTGAGTATGGACTTTATGTTGAGACTTCCCCGAACACAAAGAGGCGTGGATTCGGTCTTTGTAATAGTGGATCGATTTTCTAAGATGGCTCACTTTATTCCATGCCGCAAGATGTCGGATGCACCATATGTTGCACGATTGTTCTTTCAAGAAGTGGTTCGACTATATGGTGTTCCTAGTTCGATTGTCTCGGATAGGGATACTAGGTTCTTGACGACTTTTTGGACGACTATGTGGCGACGATTTGAAACTTTATTTAAGTATTCTAGCACAGCACACCCTCAAACGGATGGACAAACAGAAATGGTCAATCGGATTTTGGGAACTTGATTCGATGCATATGTGAAGAGAAGCCAAAGATGTGGGATCAAGCTATACCTCAAGCTAAATTCGCCTACAACTTGAATGTTCATAGTTCCACAGGTATGTCTCCTTTTTTCCATTGTTTACAGGAAGACCCCTCGATATCTCCAATATTTGTTGAAGTTGCCGACAAGTAGCAAGTTCAGCGAGGCAGCAAGTTCAATGACCGAGAATACTTTCAACATTCAGGAGGAAATGCGTACAAAGCTAGAGAAGGCTAATACAAAGTTCAAAACGAGAGCGGACAAGAAGAGGCGACTCAAGATGTTCAATGAAGGAGACATGGTAATGGTTTATTTACAGAAAAAACGGATGCCGGCTGGAACATACAGCAAGTTTAAACTGAAAAGATATGGACCGTTCAATATTCTCAAAAAGATCAATGACAATGCATATGTTGTGAATCTTCCAGAAGGAATGGCTATGTCTAAGGCATTCAACATGGCGGATCCAGACGAGACCCCAGACGAGACCCCAGTCGACAGGATGGAACGACACACCCCAGTCGACACGAAGGATGGTGTTAGTCGACACATATCAGTCGACACGAAGGGCAGTACTACTCGACATACTTAGTCGACTCATGTTCAGTCGACACGAAGGGCAGTACTACTCGGCAAACAGAATAGGAAAGGAGTTTTGTTTTGGTTATTTTCTTTTAGGATTAGAGTTTCTTTTTTATTAGGGTTAGGATAGGGTTAGTTGGCTATAAATATTAGTTCCTTTTGTATCTATTATTAACTCTTCAATTATTCAATTAAGAGAATTTTTCTCCTTGTTTTCGTTCTCAAACTTGAGAAACTTGGAGCTTGTGGATTCAAGCTCGTGAAATACCTGCTATTATTAGGGCTCGTCAACATCGGAACGATATCCGATCGGTCTACGTCTACGTCAGTTATGTTCTCAATGGTGAGTTTTCATTTAAACCTTTAACTATGATTTGCAAAACTTGATTTTTATCTTCTTTATTGAATATGACTTTTCTGTTTAAATTGGAAAAATATGTTTAGTTTTTATTTAACCCTAAGCATTCAAGTAATTGGATTATACTTAGGTTAGGTACAAATTAGACAAGTTTGATAAACACTTCAAACTTGATCCAGACTAAACCTGATCCACCCTAATCTGATACCCACTCTTAAGCTATAGGTCATGACTGTACACCGAACAAGCATCCAGTTATAACAGTTCAATGTTATGAAGTCGGCACAGAATTAAAATTCATGTGTAGCAATCCTGATTACCGAAGCTAGATAATTTTAGAAAATAATTAGGCACATGCACACTATGTTACCTGGGTACTTCTAATCTAAAGTCGTTCCCATAGGACACATACCCATACTAGTACCCAACTCCTTGGACACTCCTTGCATGTATGCATACATTTATTCGGGCATGTACTCAATTATACATGTTTTAATTTAAAACACTTAGACATATATCATACACTTCACATCCACTTCTTGAAACCCATTGGACATAGGTCAGCTTATGAATTATATGAATTATGATTCTGAATGATCGTTTGGATGCCTAATTGGAAAACTAGGGATTTTCCAATTTATAATCCGCATAATAAAAGAAAGGCTTTTGACATGAAAATCAACTTAACTAGTGGCCAATTTGCAGTTTACCATCTTGGTTTTTTTTTTTTTTGGATGTAAACCACCTTAATTTACTTGCATGTTCTCAATGTTACACTTTTAAGTATTTTCTATTTTAAAAAAATATATATGAAATTACTATAACACTCCTCAATCTAACCCAAGAGAAAAAAGGAGAGGGAGGAAGATGAGAGGGGGAAGGAAGTTGGTGAGGTCGGTGGAAAAAGAGAAGGAAGGAAGGAGGGCGGCAGCAAGAGTGGAGAGAGAGGAGAAAGAGGAGGTGAGGGGTAAGAATGGAGGAGAGGAGAGGAGAGGGGGAAGGAGGGGGGGAAGAAAGGAGGAAAGAGGTTAAGAGTTTGAAGAAACCCCAGAAATGGAGGAGATGATGGAGGGGTGGTGGATGGGAAGGTGAAGAGGAGAAAAAAGGGAGGAGGTGCAGGAGGCCATTGGTGGAGGAAAAGGAGAGGAGATAAGAAATTAGGGTTTGAAGAAACCCTAGAGGTGTATAGATGGTGGAAGTGGAGGATGAAGAGAAGACAGAGAGGAGAGGGAAGGGATGAGGTGGGGAGAACGGGAAGGAGAATGGATAGAGAGGGAAAGGGAAGGAAGAACGCGGATAGAGGAGAAGGGTAAAGTGGGTATTTTTGAATTTCTTTAGGCTGAATGGTAGTAAAGGTGTGACATTGAGAACATGTAAGCAAACTAAGGTAATTTATACTAAAAAAATAAGGGGGTAGGTTGTTATTTGGGCAAAAGTTAAGGTGGTTTCATATAAAAAAACCCTAAAAGAAACACAAAATTGTTATAGGATTTTAATTATCATCCTTGTTCTCATATACATTATTAACTTCAATATATAATATATGTGTATATAAATATTTATATAGTCATGTCCTCATATCCTACCTTTTACAAATTTGATGTCGCCTCGTATCCGCACCCATACTCGTACCCGCACCCATACTCGTACCCATGCAACATAACGTGCACATAATGAATTTTCTTATTTACAAGAAAATAACCATAAACAAAGTTCCAAAGCTCAACCCATTTAGTGTGCACCCTCACCAATAACCCCGCTTCTTTGAAGAGGGCATTGAGATGTCTAAAAATTAAAAAAATTAAATTACGAAATTCGTTAATTGTATCTTCCGCAAAGCAGTAGCTTGAAAACTGACCTCGAATCGCAAATTTTCTCCTCTGCGCATGAGATCCAATGCATTCCTAATCTGTTAGGCAGAAATGGAAAAATAATTCAAAAAATGAGCTAAATACCAAAGAGTGCCACTAAACATTACTTCACATGGCAAAAAAATAAATATTATGAAAATGAAACAGATGTTATCTAAGATGTTTTCTATTCATTTGATGAATGAAGAAACAGTAATGGGATAAGAGTAGGGGACGGGAAAAAGGAATTTGTGTGGCATGCTAGACACGGAAATAAGGACTTCAAGGTTCAACACATTGAAGAACTTGCCAAAGAGAAGATCAACTTCGTATTACCAAAAGAGACAAGTATAATTGAGAAAGAAAAGAATATTAACGGGAGTAGACTAAGTGGAGTGATGGATCTCTAGCTCATTTATTATTACTTAAGTTAATCTTAGGATCCTATATAGCTCCATACTCTACACTCTGTTGTTTGTGCAACATCTTTACAAGTAAACATCACCGCTTGAAGCACAGTTAAGTGGTGTTATTGGTTTAGGATTGTAGACTAGTGTAAGAACTTCCTTAGGATTTCTACTCAAGGTGTTATTTGCTCAAGACTAGGATTACGATTTAAATTTAAGGTGTTATTTGTTTAGCAGTAGGATTCAGATTTAAATTTAAGGTGTTATTCATTTAGAATTAGGATTCGGATTTAAAGTTAAGGTGCTAGAAAATTATTTATCAAAACTAGGACTACGAATCCAAAAACAAGCCTACTGGATATATTCTAATGAGCAAAATCTCAAAAAGAATCCAAACCTCAAACTTGGGATTGAGATATCATTTTTACGATTTCACTCTCCCCTTTTCCTTAGCAATTCCTTTAACAAAAACTAAAAAGTGACTTCACTTACATTTTCCCTGTACTTAACCTCTTGATTTGACATCCAATAATCTTTAATATCTTCCATCGATAATTCTTATCTTAAATCTAATATAAATTTGAAAAAAAATTCTAACATTTGAATATAGAGTTTTTTTCTAAAATATAAAATGTGCATAAAAATAAGGATGCTTTTTGTCATGGGACATTTTAAAATAAAGACAATTTTTGTTATAAAAATTATACTGAATAAATTATAAGGAGAATATATTCAATCAAGGTAAACTTTGGAAGAGAAAATTGTAATCTATCCTATTATAAATAAACTATATAAAATAAAATAATAAGAATATAATAATCTACTAAAACAATATTTTACTAATTAAATAATAAAAACTATGTTCATTAGTAATAGTTATTTAATATAATTTTTGAAGAGACTGGAAATGTACTGATTTGACAAGAATAATTTTTAATCATATACTTTTATGAGCTATCTTAGAAGTATTTTACTTGCTTTTAGTTATGAACTTTACCACTACATTATTGTTTTACTTTTTTATAATTTTAAGTTTTTACATATTTAACTATAATCATTTATAACAACTTGATGTTACTTTAATAATTTATAAAATTAAAAATTAATGTTTAGATAATAATTATTTAATTTAATGATTTAAAAGTATAACTGAATTATTCTAATCCTAATCGAATCCAAAATAATCCTACTTCAAATTGTCCAAGAATCCAATTTTAGTAAGATACCATATTTTAATCCAAAAAACTCGGTCCTAGTCTGAATTGTGCTTGTCGTAATCAACAATATTGAACTAGTAACGCTTGCTCAACAGAATTTAACCCTTGTTAGCTACCTCTCAGTCATTTACTCTATCTTTTATCTACTTCATGCCCAACTGAAGGTTGCAGCATTAGGTACTTATAAGGTTGCATGGATTATGTATGAATGCTATTGCTTTCGACTTACTACTAAGTGTATGTACTGCTTTTCTGAAGAATGCTCAAATAACTACGAGCCAGCCTTCCACTTGGATGCTACCACATCAGTCCACGACGGGTGTCAAATTATTAGCCCAACTAGCCCCTGGTCCAAAAATCAGCAACACCTAGTGAATGTTTGGGTTGACATTAGGTGCATCAATAGTCTTTTGCAAGCTTCCTGGAGCAGATTGGATTTCATATTACCAACATCATCTTATCTACAGTAGAAAATTGCTGAGAACTACTTGTTATTTTCTCAGATTATTTCCTCAATTGTACTATAACTTGACAGTTGACACATGTACAAGAATAGTTTTCAACATCTATTTATATTAAAGAATTATCTTAATATTAAACTTGTTGTTCCTCCAAACCTGTTTTTATCGTCTTGTGGTACTTGAAAAGAGCTTGCGAGTAGGGAATATAATAGGACAAAATTAAGCTAGGAATGACTAGCCGAATGATGGTGAACAGAATGATGGTGAACAGTCCTATAGCGAAAAAGACGCCATAAATACCTTACATCAACCAAGGGATAGAGATTGCTATCTCAGGAAAAGGTAAACAAGGGAAATTATTATGACTTGTGAGTCCAAAGGAGCATTAAGGAAAGAGTATAAGGTCCTAGTTCAAGAATTTTGTACCAGAACCACATTCATTGTGTGACAGTAGTGTTAAATAGCAGGAAAATGCTATTCAAATCAATTTACAGACGAAGAAGTTTTAGGGCAAGAGTTACCATTGTGTGGCCAAGGAAAAACAATCGGTGCACAAGGAAGCTTCTGCTTATTAAATATACAAAGAAGAATATGTTACTTTAGGAGTGAAACTTAAAGGCGATACAGTTGTTGGGTCAAATTAGTTGCACATGCACTTAGAGTCGGAAGTAAAGGCCTTCTTTGGTCTTGTGAAATTTCCATATAAATGTCAAAGACAACATCATCAAGAGGTTTTCCACCATGTATATTGGCTCTATTTCATGGGCAGTTTCATAGTAAAGCATAGAAGGAGGGCGTAATTTGATGGTTGTGCTACATTGCTTGTGATAAGGTAGGTGAGATACTGAATTCAACGATGAGGATCCATTGGCCACTAACAAAGTTCAGTTGAGGTTTCCACGTGACCATTCTAAACCAGTAGATGGTCTTGAGGAGGAAGTGATCAATCTTTCGAACAACTTGCAAAGCAAGGTTTCGGGAGAAATTTCAACTGATAAGCCAATAGGTGGGAAAAAGGGTCAAACCTGAGGGAAGTTCTAGGGATTCAAGTGGAGTAAAGTTTAGTTGCTACCCTAAAGTTCATAAATCTCTTTTTTTTCCTTTTTTCTTTTTCTTTTCCCCTTTTTTTGGTGCATATGTAAATGGTGTATGTCTTAAAAAGGAGGCACGGTGAGAAAAAGGAAAATAAACAAAAAAACATTAGCCAGAGAAAGTAATAGGTAGCCAAAGGGAGCAAGTCTAGAAATGACAAGGCATTTAAGTGGTTGCAAAGGTTGTATTGGCAATGATGTCTAGTTTTCAGAAGAAGCATTAGATGGTCATGAAAGTGAAGTGATCGATTTAAGATCAATGAAGAAACTAAACTTGAGGGCGGGCCAAGATGAATTTTGGGTCAGCTGAACAAAGGAGATTACAGCGGGACATGTCCCGGTCAATACAGTTGAAGTATCCCAACCCCATGCTTAGATAGATTTGAAGTAAAAGATTGCAAAAATCATTTTAAGATTAAGCGATAAGTAAACGGGATTCTTCTAGGATCAAGAGTTCAGCAATCGTATCAAATAGAGAACGAAAATCATAAGCAGCAGGGGTGAAGACAAGGGGGGAGGGGGGGCAAAGGAAAAAAACATTTTGAAATTTTTTTTCACATACATATAATTTTATGTATATAAGTTTTGTGGGCTTATTAATTTAAAAATCTAATTGGATAACGGGTCCATTTATGTCTATGTACCCAAACTAAATAACCCAATCCTTCAAACTTATTCACAGAATACCAACACTGGAAAGAAATCTAAAATCCCAAATCGCAATTCTCAAGACCATGTTTGTGAAATACTCAAACGGCAATGTCTAATTTCCTTCTCCAACTCCTCATCTTCTTAAGAATGTCATTTCTTTTCAACTCCTTACGCAGAACCATCAACAATGTAACCTAGAAAGTTTAAACCTACTTTATTTTTGTTGATTTAGACAATCTCTCTTCTTATCAATTTAACTCTCAATTGATTGGTGCCAGTATAGTGACTTTGATTTGTTAATTTTTATCTAAGTATTGAGGATTTTGTTTCCTCCAAACATAACAATGTTTCCCCCGTTAGGGTTTTGATTCGCTTCGAAGTCTTACATTCTAACAGTTTAGGATAATAAATACTAAAAGTTTGAATCTTTATATTAATTGTTTGAGGTTAATTTATTTTTCTAAGATGAGATAATATTTTTATATATTGAACATGATCTAAAGAAAGTTTTGCTTGATTTATATGTGCAACACATATTACTTTTTCTTTCTGCCATTTACATCTTTAAAAAAGTATAGAAATCCCGTAGTGTACTTGACTCTACCTGGATCATTTGCATTATTGTTTACATATCTCTAGTTCAATTTTAGAGTATATGCATACTATAGACGGTTCCCTTTTCTCAAATAATCATGCTTCTTTAATTTCTTTATTGTTTGAAATAAATTTCAATGGTGTCACTTAGGGGTGTTTGTTTCACCCTTTTTTAAGGAATAGGATTAGGAATTGAATCTGACAGGGACAAAATCGTAAATAAAGGATTCTTTATGAATCTTATTCCTGAGTTTGTTTCACAACAAATTTATAAATTTCAAAATCTATAAAGTTAAAAAGTATGGTGATTTTTTAGAAATCCAAATCCTAATGACTTGGGAGGATTTGGGGCAAAAAGCTGACACACCCGTACTATTCTCCCTCTTTTTTTTGGATTCCATTTCTTCACAAACCCTATATTATTACGAGACCGAATCCTATTCTCATTCCAAATCAAACTAAAGAATAGGAATTGGAGAGTTTCTATAAAGTTAGATTCTATTTTTTCATGTTATGATACAAACATAGAAAGGAAAAAAAAAAGATTTCATGAATCCATAAACTTGTCTTAAAATTTTTAATGGATTTGATAGGAATCCATAAAAAATCGGATTCATAATCCTATTCTTGTCCACTATTGAACCAAACACCCCCTATAGTATTATCAATTTGTCAGGTTTCATAAAGATTAAAAGTTATAGTTAGTAACCAATCACGAATTACAAAAATTATCTAATATTCAAGAATTATATACAGACTTGACAAGAACAAGAAAGTCAAGGTTGTCGATAGCGTCGCGTAGCGTTGAGGCATCACTAAGTCTATTTCGGGCTATTGCGGTAAAATAACGGTAAAAAGCGCAAAGTCAAATAGCGGTCTAATTTAGTAAAATAACGGTAAAAAGCGCAAAGTCAAATAGCGGTCTAATTTAGATATGTATAAATACTAAAAAAATTAAAGAAAACAAAGTCAAATAGCGGTCTAATTTAGATATGTATAAATACTAAAAAAATTAAAGAAAAATCTAAGAAATATAAAAGTACATATTAGAGATTTAAAGAGATCCTAAACATGAAATAGACATGTAACCATCACGTAATACCGAAGATGACTGAAGGAGTCAAAAAATCGTCATCTTCGAGAAGAAAAGCTTAGTGATGACAGGACTGTCCTAAGAGGAGCTCACGGTGAAGGAGGTGAGAGGAAGTATCAAAGTAGGTGTCAGAGGCTATGAGAGGTGACGGGAGTATGCTGAAAATCACAGGAGACGGTGAAATGCAATGGTCAATGGTTGAGTTTAAATTTAAAAAAATAAGCCTCAAACCGCTTTTAAATAGCAGTCAAAAAGCAAATTTTGAATGCAATCGCTCACTATTTACCGTTATGACACACTATTGGCCGCTTTTGCGAACAGACATATTCCACAATATGTCACCGCTATTGCGCGATAGCGTAGCGGGCGATAGCGTCGCGGGAAGTGACCGCTAACGCTATTAGCGCCGCTATTGCGGGGCTATTTACCGCTATTTATAACAGTGAAGAAAGTCAACAATTTATTCACTTATTGATAAAATTGAATAGGCTTATGCTTACTCTTTTTGTAACAATGACAACTAGAATGAGCGTTCTTGATCATGAAGAAAGTGAAGACAAAACATCGAAACTAAGTGGAAATTTAGTTCTTGAATGATTCCTTGATCTTGTACATAGAAAAAGAAATTGCTAAGAAATTTAGTGTGGATTCAATCATAGACAAGCTTAGTTCAATGAAAGAACATTGACCACAACTTGGTTTGTTATCTATAAGAATAATTTAAGAATTTTGTATTATAAGAATTGTCATTCTTTAATGAGTTCCCCCCCCCCCGCCCCCCCCCCCACCACACACACAAAAAAAACTCCTGCCTTCACCACGACAAGTACCAGAGGAAGAAACCATAGGAGATGAGGTTCAAGAAATGCTAAAAAGTATAAAAAGAGAAACAAATAATGAAGACGGATTCATGCTACAAAGGTAGCCTTATTTCAAAGATTCACATCTGTGTTTATGCCTAAGTGCAAGAAAATATAGTACCAATGGTGCCACGTAAAAAGTTTGGATGGTGGCATGCCTATACTTTTATCCAAAGTGACCCTTAAATTTCCAAAAGAGTGACTGTTTGTAAAATAGGGATTTTCAAAAGTATAGTACCAAAGCTGCTGTGTAAACTGTAGCTTTCGTACAAGTTATGCCAAAATATACTGGTAAGTTTCAAAATAAATGCATCCTTCATAGTGCAGGAGTTCCTAAATACATTTATATGCATTATGTATCAGTAGAATATATCACGCAATAACTTGGAAACAAACTTATAGCAATTTAAATATATAAAATTTGTAATGATTTTAAGGATAACATACCTCTGATATCATCCTACTTCTCCCTTCTCTAGCAGCTAGACTCCTCATTGACAAGGGAATGCGGTCACTGTGTCTATCCATTAAAAGTGCTGTCCTCATAGGTGATTGCTGATTGCCATGGGAAACAGATGCAGATTGATGACCTGCCTCTAGAAAGGAAGATTGACCAGGCCGCTGCGAGATGAAGTTGCTGTTCCGACCTCTAGACTCAGAGCCAATTGATGCAAGTAAAGACCGACGAATGGCCTCGGCTAAGCCTTGGGAAAATTGGGTAGGAGGATTTTGATGAGGTGTCCATGTTGATCCTGCTGATGAATGGACACCAGAACTCATGCCAGCTCTTGATGTAGGAGCTGCTGCTCCAGTCATACTAGCACCCCCATTAGCAACATTCCAATTTGCAGAGTCCTGTGTGAAATTCCTGGTTTCAGTTGGTGGAACCAGCAAAGACTGCATCAACACATCATTTCTTGGGGTGTTCCTGGAAATTGTGTCCTCTCGGATAGCAGTCAAAGTCTCCACTGAATTTACAGAGGTTGAAGAATTGCCGTTTCTTGAATTGGGAGGTAAAATCAAAGGGTACGGGATCCTAGGTCGGGAAGACCCCAAAATAGCTGGCATATGAGGCAGATTCTGCGAACTTGAGCCAGCAGCTAGTGTTCTAGGCTCCAATCTCTGGTTAAACGGCATGAGATTAGAAGATGGTTCACTGGGTAACCAAATACTAGAATTCTGAGCGGTACTCCTCGACGAAGACAAATTAGGAGGATAGATATCAGGTTGAAGTGCAGGATTCATTCTCAATCGAAAACTTCTCTGAGAACGTTCAGCATTTCCTGCCACATTTGCTGCCATATAACCATTTGGAGATGCTTCTCTACTTATGTTGCTAAATCTTGGATTCATCTGTTCTCCAGAGGAACTCGTACCAGGTAAACAACTGGATGGGCTAGATATGTTTATACCAGCACTAGCATTTGTCCTAACAGAAACAGGATGAACTGAATTGCTATGACTTGCGTGAAATAAATTTGAGCTTCCACTTGTTGAAGACTGTCCAGAGAGCCCTTCGATGTTCTTTCTCTTACAGGCTAACCTTCTACCATCTAATGAACTTCCAGGCCTATCATCATAATCCCCTGCCATAAATCCAAGAACTCCAGAAGAAGTGCCATTGGAAGTTGAAGAATATGGACCATGCTCGCATTCTATTGAGCTCGGAACGTAAGGATGTGAAAACAACACTGATCCAGAGACCTGATCGCCTACATTGTGTTCTAGATCTTGAGATACGTCGTTTAAGTTTGAACCTAACGAAAATGAAAATTGTTGATCATTATCAATTTGAGTTGTATTTAGATTGGTGTCATCGTCTTCCAGAGAAAGCATGTTGTCTGCTTCAATTGGGCCGCTGCTTCCAGGTGAAGTTGGCCATCCAAGCTCCATTTTGGTTTCATCATGGTTTCTCGGGTCTAAAGAATTTTCACCAGAACTAGTTCCGCCTGAATTCCATATACTCAAACTGGGACCCTCTTCAGCAGACATATTTACATATGGCATATTTGTATCACTGGAAGAGACTAAATAGTTTGGTAAATTTTGGGCCTCTGACGGATGGAGAACCATGCTATTCCAATAAATATCCTGATCCATGGCAGCAGTGCTCGAACCTGACCTATGATCAAAATCCAATATTTCAGCGAAGGGTTCACCGGAACTCCTTTGACTTTGCATCGCCAAGGTCTCTTCTTCCTTTGATGTTTATGAAGACAGGCACGATAGAGCTTCAGCGAAGTTGAAAGTGCTTCAGTGAAGTTTGTCCATGACTATGCTGTGTTCTCAAACCTCCAAACTGCAATTTGAACATTATGCACAGAGGTAAAGCAGAAACTGTTAATCAAGAAAAAATAAATCGCATGATGATATGCTTTGAAAATTAACAAACCAGAGTTCGATGAACTCGCTGACAAGCATAACAACATTAGATGAAACTAAGACTAAATATTTAAATCCTATAACAAACCACAAAATGGCAATCAATCTACAATCTCTAGACAAAAATACTGGATGAAGGAAATAATATCACCATTTTCCTAATAATCAACAGGCTTCAACATGATTGATGCCAACAATTCTAGTGACTGTAACTTCACTCGTCAATGGTAGCAATAAAGTGAACGACAAGAAATACACTAAATTCATGTAACATGATACTGATTTGTACTAAAAGAACTACAGACATATAATTCCCCAGTTTTATTTGATCTTACAATGGCCAATATAAATTGGCGTATGCCTATGCCGCCATCTTTGAATTAGTCACCAACAAGACTCATTGCATGATACACTACTATAAAGAAATAATTCCAGACGCGGATCAAAACAGCTCCCAAAAAAATAAATAAGAGGATCAATACAACGATATAAGAAACAGATAAAACAAAAAAGGTTAAAAAAATAAGGAAAAAAGATAAGAATCTAATCCCGATCCAGAAACAGACCATCAAAGATAAAATTGAAAAAGATCGAAGTTTTACCAGAAAAAACGAAAGTAAAAAATAAAATCCAGCTTCAGCATCAAAGCTCAAATCTCAACAAAACAACATCCAAAGCTCAGATTCGCTAAACCTCAGAAAAAAGATAATAAATAAATAAATTTCCAGGAATAATTACCACTTACCAACCGTTGAAATCTCCAAAAAAGTATAATAAGATCAGATTTGGTTAAAAAAATTACCTACAACTTCATAAGATCCAGAAACAGGTCGATCGGAGACCAAAAGACCCATTAAATTGATTCAATTCATCATTTTTTAAGGAAAAAAAAGAGAAAAGGAGAAACCCAAAAAAAACCCTTCCTCTTTCTCTCTCAGCACAAGAAAGCAAAGTTAGAAAGAGACGGATTTGATGATCGAACAGAATAAAAATGAGGGTTTGGAGGAGAGAGGGGGGAGAGAGAGGAGAGAGAGTGTGTGAAGTTTGGGAAATGGGAGAGAATAATGGAGGAATTTTTTTTTTTTTACTGAAAAATCTCCTCCCTTAATAACAAAAAAACAAATAAATAAATATTTAATTTATAATAATAAAAAAAGAAATTGCAATTAGTTACTCGTGCCCCGACGCTGACGACACTGCTTCCGAACCTGGTGTGGGCCCCCTTGACCTCACTGTGGGGTTGACAGTCGGCCAGCTTTGAAACTCCCGCTCCCAGCCAAAAATTTAATTAACGGTAATTTTAAAAAAGATTTTTTCTAATAATTTTTTAAAAAGGTTTAATTTTACAAAACCCCTCGAAGTTCAGGGATTTTCATAGAACCCTGAACTTTGTTTATTACCTCGCAAGCCACGTGAACTCTTTTGGGGTGTTCCCGCAAAATCTCCCAGAGGCTTGAACTTTTCGCACCTGCCCAGACTAATCCCCGTCTGTTTAATTTGCAAATAGATAAATTTAAGATTTATCTCGAAAATTTTTTTGTTATTTATAAATGATATGTAAGAGCATCTCCAACAGTTTTCCCAAAAATTTCTTCAAAATAGGGAAGCAAAAGTCATATTCTCCAAAAAAATTTGCTCCAACTCCAACAGTTTCCCCATTTTGAAGAATCATGCATTTATTACAATAATAAAAATATTCTACATCCCTATTTTGGGATGCTCTTATGCATTGGAACTGCCCCCATGGTTTTTTTTTGTAATTACGGATTTTGTTTTATATTTATTTTCTCCTCCATCCCGTCTTGAAGAACGTGTTGCATTCATGACAAAGATTTCCCCAAATATTTGAGGAATGCCCCAGATTTGGGGAAGACTCCTCTTTTTTTCTCCTTCATCCCTATTTTGGGGAATAGGATGGGGAATCTGTTGGACCCAAAAAAAACCCAAAATTCTCCAAAAGTGAGAATACCAATAAAATAGGGAAGCTGTTGGAGATGCTCTAAGGGCGTCCAGTAAGAAAAGATTCTTAAGTTTATAGGACTTTACAAGACACCCCAATTTAAGAGGGTTAATAAATAAATAAATTTTAGGGGGTTACAGAAAATTAACCCAATTAAAAACATCTTAGTGGTTGATTTGCACAAAATCCCTTACGGTTTAAACTTTGGCGTGAATCCGTCTAAATTTAGAGAGTTTCGCATAACTTTCAAATTTTCATAAGTTCCTATTAGAGCATAACCATAGCTTGAAAGTTATGAAGCAATGGAGGGGGTTCTCAATCATCGTATTACAACAAGTTGGGCTGAAATTCTTTAAGTCATATTTTTAATACAGATTTATGTAAAAAAAACTATTTTAAGAGTCTAGGTTTTGATACATTAAAAGGACGTTTGATCTATGGAAATCAATTAGTTAGACTATAAAAGTACAATCTTCATTACTTCAGAGTTTTGGTGTAGTTAACGGGTCCTTTAACTGTTTCAACTGAATATTAGGCAAATTTTGACATTATATAAAAAGAAAGTATAGAGAAAAAAAGGATAATTTTGTTTTGTGATTTAACTCAAAGAGGAAGTTTCTTCTCTTGACATGGGTGAAGTTTTCAAATGTCCATGAGTCTCCCTCATTTTATGAGGCTTTTCTCTAATTTGTAAGGTTTAGGAAGTTCTTCTTTGCATCTCACTCAAAAGATTGGGGTTATGTAAAATTTACCAACATTAATTAATTTTTCTAAACTGCTGCTTTTTGTAACTCACCGCCATGCTTCTCACATGATGAAATCTCAACGCCCTTCTCCATACCCGGTAAATTGTTCCGCAGTAACAACTTTAGGGAACGTTAGACCATCTCCAACCCATTGCACCAAAATGGTGCAAATTTTGCATCAAAATAGTGCAAAAGTCACATCAAACAGTAATACATCTCCAACCCATTGCACCATTTTTTGCACCAAAAAAGAATATTCTCAGTATATTCTCACTTTATTTCCTTTTATCTATTTTTATATTAATTGAGAGGTAAAAACAAATATTTAAAATTTTTTTAAAAAAGTGAACAGTAATGGAGCGGATGAACAGTGCGACGCCATATTTGGTGCAGCACTGTTCATTTGCACCAAAATGGGGCTGGGTTGGAGATGCCCTTAGGAGCAAGTGATGGCAAGAGTTATGGCCATTCACTGAATCTCACCGATGTGTGATATTTTTCAACTTTTTGTTAATACTAATGAGTATAGTTTTCGGGAGTATTGAATGCTTGATAGGTACGAGTTTGGCCCATCTCATGTTTTTATTAATTTAATCTACCAAATATGATGGGATTGAGACGGACCTGATGTGTCGTAACTCAGGCTATATTAATTCATCTACCTCTCCATTTTTCTTTACACTTCAATAATTGTATGTTAGTCCCTTAAATCTTAGAAATTATATATTATCCCCTCAAATCTTTAATAGTTGCTATTAAATATTAGCCCCTCAAATCTTTAATAGTTGCTATTAATCCCTTACATCTTTAATAATTACATATTAGCCCCTCAAAAACTTAGAAATTACATATTTGCCCCTCAAACCCTATCGTGTCTCGAAAAATGGTCTCTCGGTTAGTATTTCAAACAAAAGTTTAATCATGGTTTGATTAACCCCTAATTTAAAATCTGCAATCATCAAACTGTCTATATCTTGGATTCGGATGTTTCAAACATTTGTGAAGCTCAACTTTGAGTTAGGGTTTTTTGCTAACCATTGGAGTAGAACTCAAGTGAGTTTGGATTTATTTTGAACTGATATTGGGTTTAAATCTATTAAGAAATGGGTTGGCGAAAATTATAGAGTGTAAAATGGTCACTTTACTCCAACCGTCAGATTTGACGAAATATTCCCCACAAATACAATATGCAATTTCCAAGATCTGATGGACTACTAATCAATTATTGAAGATTTTAAGGGACTACAATGCAATTTTTAAGATTTAAGGAACAAATATGCAATTATTGAAGATTTAAGGAACTAATATGCAATTTTTAATATTTAACTAATATCTAAAAAAACCCATTTTTCTATTGTCAACTTTTAATTATTCCTTTCAAAAATTGCTTTTTTTTGGAATTTTTTTTAGGTAAGTCACCTATCTCAAAAATATACCTCACTGAATTGTGGAGTTAAAGAATATGAACAGATTCAATGAAAATTAAATTCATAACTTCTGTGATGATAGAAAATAAAAAAAAATCTAGAATAAAGGTTAAATTGCAAGAATGGAAGGGCTCTAAAAATTGAGGGAGACATTTAAAGGAAATTCTTAAGGCAATATTCTCGTAAGTCTTCTGAATTTTAGGGTGAGTTGCACAAAGCATCATCGAGCTATGAAAATTAGAGAAACCTTCTAAACTTGGGTGTTTCACAAAATCTTCTAAAATTTTGGAACATAAAATTTTGTCATGGAAGAGATCATAAAGGAAAGTGGGGGAAAAGGGAAATAAGCTTCTTTACCGTTTTATTGGTAGAAAGGTTATTTTTTAGGCTTTTTCTAATGAATGCCAATAACCACTCGTTAATGGAAGAAGAAAATAAAGAGAATGAGGAAAGGATAGAGAGCATAAGTGAAAATATTGAGGCATGCTCGCTATTCACCCCTTTGCATCTTTCTTTTTTTCTTAACGAGTGTCGATGGGTGCTGTTAGAAAAATCGTTTTTAAAATTTGGCATAAACTTTTGGATTTCAAATTATGCAGCATATATTCTTTTTCCTTATCTTCAAATACAAAACTCATTGCTTAATTCAAATTCATTATAGTATATATAAAAAAAATCTTTTCCTCCTAATTTTGTGTTCTTGCACTGATTAGTACATGAAAGTAGGGACATAGTATAATAGTGATGCCTCAAAGCACTCAAATGTTGCCTTCTTTTTTTACTCACAACCGCATTTGTCGTCTTTGCATTCACATCTCACTCGTGAGCAATGAGCTTTTGTCAAAGTCCCCACTTCTTCGCTCATTCCTCCTTTGCTCTTTTTTTTTCCCCTCAAATCTTGTGTTGTTTTATTCATTTTTTTATTTTATGTGCCCTAAACACAAAGGAAATGCCTCTTCTCTTTCCTCGTGCTGTCAAAAGCAAAGATGCCTGATGTAGCTTTATTAGGTGTGCTCGTTTTGACTTTGTGGTTATTGTGTAAGTAAATAAAAAATTTTTTTTTTTGGTAGGGGGGGGGGG